AACCTCATTCACCCGTAAATTTACCTCATATCCACACCATATAAGGCCACATCATGAACATAAACCTCATTCGCCCATATAATAACAGCGACCTCTCCCGACTCCAACGTATCTCTTCTACAGGAGATACGTTGATGACACTTTTTTTAATTTTCAAGCATCCCTCTCACATCAAACTCTTCTTCGATTACCTAAATTCGCAACATAAATCCATCAAATTTACTATGGAGCTTGAATCTAACAATAGCCTGTTCTTCCTCGATTGCAATATTGCTAAATTTAATGGCCGTTTTCAAACTTCTATGTTCGAATGTCGATTTTCACAGGCCTCAGTGCCAGCTTTTTCAGCTTTCGCTCTTTTCGATTTAAGATTAATGGACTTTAAACACTTTTACATCGGGGCATTCGTATTTGTTCTAATTACCATGTTCTGCACGTTGAACTCGAATTTTTATGCGATATCTTCTCGCTTAATCGATTTCCGATTAATCTGGTGTTAACTCAGATAAATAAATTTATGTAAAAGCGGTGCAATGAGGTTGCTCCCGAGCGCGACAGTAAGACGGTTGTTTATTGCTCTCTTCCATACTTCGGCTCTGCATCCCGAACTATTATGTTGCTCTTCGTGTTTTATTGGTGAAGAATTTTACAATCGCTTCATTTTTTAGGTATAAAGATACCCCCCTCCCTATGCATATGCGAGCGTCCCTAGTTTATTAACATAGTTGTGTACGATATGCATCTGCGTATGTCGGGATGACGTCTCGCAATCTTTATTCTAGGGTCGCAGAACATAAGGGAGGAGTTGTAGAACTGGTCACTTACTATCGCGCCCCCCTCCTCTCATGCGGCTGTGGGCGCTCACGCCGAGCAGTGCTATGTTCCAATTTTTTATAGTGACTTCAAGGTTTTAGCTTCCCACTTCCAGTGTTTTCGATCTGCGCACATTAGAATCATTGTATGTTTTAACAGAAGATTAGTTTAATTCAGCTTTTAGCTCCTACTCAGTTGAAATTGTAAATAGGTAGCTTTTACCGTTTAGTTAGTTTTTGTAATTTTGACTAATTACTGATTGAACTGTGTTTTAGAATTTTGAACTGTCGATGGAGCCGGAGACCGAAACTTTTTCTATAAACATAGTATGAATTCTTATGGAGTTTTCTTTGCTCCTAAATTTTTAGTGAAATTGCGATACAAGCAAACGAGTGACATTTTTACTAATAGGTAATCATATAGATCTTCCACTGTAACTCCCAAGGTGTTTGATTATCCCCACTTTATACAGCCTCTACACTCGCGACGTCCCACTACCACTACCCAACACTGCAACACAGACTACAATACTTTTGCAGATGACAACACAAATAACCACAGAACAGTAGCCACACAACCACGCAGTAGTACAAACACAACACTCCACCCACTATCCATACACGAACAAAATAGCAACTTTAGGATTTCATTTCACCACATAAGGCTTCAGTTCCCAAACAGCGAGAGGAAAAGCAATGGCTTTATAAATCTACAAAAAGTACTTAAATTTTACCACCTCCCAGCCGACATAAAACGCACTTTATACCTCTCATTTGTTAGATAATCCCTCATTTACCCCTTATATACCGTTTTACACCCAGTCAAAATCATGCATATCCAAACTGCGAAAAATAAAGACTTAGTCTTCGATTCATACCATACACACACTGGTCTGACTTCATATCTGGAACACATCCATGCGACAACATTTCTTCTCGCTTCGAGTCACCGACATGTGGAACAGCCTCCCTGATAGCATCGTTGAAGCTCCGAGTATGGACATCTTCAAAAACAGACTAGACGAAGCTATGCAGGAGCATATGTTCAGTCTTAAAATGCCTAGCAAATTACGGATCAGGCAATAAGTCCAGCTGCTATCTCAATCAATCGTCAGCTATAGAAAGATCGGGTTCCAAAGGCCGGATCCCTTGTGAATCAAGTCACGAAAAGTTCAAGAATCGGCAACAGGCCATGGTCCTATTTCTTCAACGCCGACACTTCTATTCTATTCTATTCTATATCCTCCCAAACAATGCACGAACAATGCAACATTCCTGCAATGAACACAGTCCTTCACCAACGAGCACACAAACGTGGTCCACCGTCAAAACATATGATCCCAACTCTTAAATCAACTCACATTTCCCCAGACGCCTTAGCAAGGCATCATCAGATATTTAAAAGCTAAACTCCTAAAAGCATAACTCCTCAACTCCATCATATCCCTTCCCATCATACCAACATTTCAGGAAAAATTTCAAAAAGGAAAAAAATGTTGAAAATGAATTGCAAAAAAGGGAAAACGCATGTTTATGGAAGGTACGCATCATATTTGTTCTTGTTTACTGAAAGCATGTTGGTCCAAAAATAACTTTTTTATTTACGGACGGATCATTATGAAATTTGGTACACATATGTAAAATATAAATCAATGACTTTTTTGTTCATGTAATTTTTTCGGGAAAAATGAAAGAAAACGTGAAATTCATATAAACGGCAAAAAGGGGGTACTGTTGGAATCTATCTCCTCCTAGGATTTTCAAGCTACAATATTAAGAGACATATCATTCGATACGTAAAGACCATATCTAAAAATCAGACTGTTTAAGTTTTTCGCATTTTTTGTAGTATTTTTTAGTTTTTCTGATTTTTCTCAATTTTTATCCCTCTCCCCTCCCCCCCTTTTCAATAAATAATCAAAACAAAATACAAATCGAAAAAAGTAGCCGGATGATCTATTGAGATTTTATTTACGAATCGAGTGGCATATCTCTTAATGCTGTAGCATGAAAATAATAGGAGGAGATTGATTCTTAAGAAGGCGTATTTTGAAAATTTTAGTTGTTCAGGGGAGCCATATGAGTAAAATTCATTGAAAGAAGAAAAATATGCCAAAAATTGTTTGATATTGTAGCCCAACCTTTCCCAGTGCCAATTGGTTGGATTTAGGCCACCAGCACACGTCGTTAGACGAATTCCTGTCCACTTTAAGGAGAGCGTTTCGGTTGAAAATAGAAAATTTTGGTTTTTCCGTTTTCTTAGCTCATTTGTAGCTGCTGAAGAGGCTCGTCTAACGCAGCAAACCGCATGTATGTGCGTGCTCTATTTTTTTACTTTTTAAATATTTAAAATTAACATTTTTAACAATATGACCAAATATTTTTTCAAATTAAATCTAAATTTTATAGATCACTATGCTTGCCAATTGCAAAATGTTTGCACTCGTTTGAAAGCTACAAACAAGACGCGTTCAACAAAGCTACTACCATAAAATATATGTACATATTGAAAGTCCCATTTTTAGCTTATTATTCACGTTAAACTAGACATGAATTAGTCTAAAGACGCGTGCTGGTACCTAAATGCAAAGAATTGGCAATGGGGAAGCTTGGGCTAAAGTATCAAGAATTTTTTTGGTGTATTTTCCTTTTTTCAATTAATTTTATTTATTTGGCTCCCATGAAAATTTTTAAAAATCCAAAAAAAGCGCCTTGAAAACTTAATAACTCCCAACAGTTTTCAAGCTACAACAATGAAAGACATACCATTCGATTTGTAAAGACCATACGTACCTAGCGACTCTAGAAGCCCTTTTTTGAATTTGTGCATGGTTTGACTTATATATGAGGGAGGCTGGGGTGGGGGTGAAATATGTGGAAAAATAGAGAAAAACGCGCATAAAAGAAAAACGATGGAGAAAATGGAAAATCGGGGATCTCGAGTCGCTTGATATTGTTGTTACGAATCGAATGATATGTTTCTCGACATTGCAACATGTGATTTGCAACCGTTATTAACTTTTTAAGAGCACCCCCTTTTGCAGTTTTCTATTAATTTCACGTTTTCTTTCTTTTTTTTCAAAAAATTCACACAACAAAAATTCTAAGATTTCTGTTTTACCAATGTGAACTAAGTTTCAGAACGATCCGTCCGTAAATAAAAAAGTTTTTTTTTTTCTACCGAAACGGTCCCCTTAACGTGAATGATAAGCTATAAATGTGACTTTTTTACATTAATACACATAAGATAAAAGTTCAAAACAACCGAAACCCCCCAAAAAACATTGCATGTACATCCGTGATATTTGCTTTCCTGGATGCGCATCGTTGAACGTCTTGTTTGTAACTTTTAAACGAGTGCAAACACTTTGCAATTAATGTGAATAATTGCATTACCATTTTTAAATGAAAATTTGTAAATATTGTTAAAAAATCGTCATTTATAAAAGTTCAAAACAGCCTTACGCAAAAATTATTGCATGTACATCCATGGTTTTTGCTTTGTTGAACACGTCTTGTTTGTAGCTTTCAAACAAGTGCAAACACTTTGCAATTTACGTGACTGATGATCTATAATTACAGATTTAACTTATAGAAATCTTAGTACATATTGTTAAAAAATGTTCATTGAAAATATTTTGTTGTTGTTTTACGTAAAATCTAGAGCATGCACATACATGCGATTTGTTGCGTTAGACGCGCTTCTCCAGCAGCTACAATATAGGAGCCAAGAAACCGGAAAAGCCAAAATATTTCATTTTTGACCGACATGCTCCCCTTAACTGTACTCAAGATGTAAATATTGTAGATAAAAAACCACATCCCTATCACCACCCACCCGTTTGAACCATCCAAACCCCTGACGGATCATCCCCCTCTCGAACCCCAACCAAACTCCAAGCACCTGTAACCAACCCAGTAATGCGCTATGAGCCTTTTTCACCTCTTTTTGTTCTTCCTATATCCTCTTTCTCGTGACCACTCTGCGCCACATTTTGTACTGTTCCACTCATGCCTAGTGATACCGCAACAACACCATAAGATGGGTCTGAATATACAGCCACTTGAGGAACACAGCATCTTTACCATTTTTATTGGGAAACCGTTGCACGCGGGAAACATTTGACTAAATTATTTAAATAACTAAATATACGAAGGGTGTTAATAAATGGAATAAATCCAACATACCAGTAACGCGATCGAGTTTTCCACTGGTGACGGTGTTGCCAACCATTCCAGCACATTGAGCACCTAGGCTGTGTCCCGCAAGTGCCGTCCTCTGGAAATCCAGACCTACAATGTCCACCATCCAGTCCAGCAAAGATGCGGTGAGATCGGCGGTTTCGTAAACGCCAGCAGCAGCAGCTACGTAGTCGGGCGGAGCAGCCAGCTCTGCCCAGTCCACCGAGATGAAGTTGGCATCAACCCTATCGAGCAAAGCATTCTTGGCATCCAAAATCCACGATGTATTGCCACTAGAACTGTAACCATGGAATACCAAAAATGTTTCTTTGGAGGAATCGAAGTTTGAAGCGGCGAAACTGTCGGCGTTGAAGGCCTCCAAGACGTATTCAACATTGAGATTGGACCTTGTCCAGAGCAGGAAGTTGACTTGGTCGATCGCAGCTTTGACTTCTGGTTTAGGCCCAGAAACTAGAAACTTTTGCCAGCCGTCAGCCCAGTTGTAGGACAAAGATACGAGACGCTCCCTTATCTTAGGACTGTAGTCAGCAAACGCGGCTTCTCGCTCCAGTTTGCTGGTGCTCATGCCTGCTGACACTGCCAGGATGCAGGTCAGCGCTACCATTACTCGGCGGTCCATCATTGTTCACAATTTCTCCCTCCTGTAGGTTGAAAGACGCAATGATTAGATCCTTGAAGAACATCTCAAATTGCTGTCTGAAACGAGCATAGAGAGTTGCTGTCTGAAACGAGCCCAGTACCCGACGGTCCATTGGAAATTTTCGTTCCCTGTAAACGTAGAGATTCGGTAATTCTTCGAAAAGTTCTTTACTTCCTTTTTGGCCGCGCATAGATGCTATTGTTACAAACGCGATTATTCAAGTCGCTGAGCCTTCGAAAATTCTGTTTTGCACAGCCGAAATGGTTTCATATCTTAACTCCTCCGATTTGTTTGATCTCATGTTTGCATCATTGTACTAAGCTATGATTTTTTCATTATTTTGGTCTTTGTAGTAGGAAAAATGTTCTATACAGAACATTTTACGTATATAAACACGTGTAAATATATTTACATGTATAAACATGTAAACATGTGTAAACATTTACACGCTCTGTAAATAATGTAAACATCCTAATTTGAATCCGTGCTACAATTTGATTATTTGTTCACCAGGTTAAAATGAATTTGTTGTTCTGTGGAAACTTCTTTGTCAGAACGACGGCAGGAGCACTTATCTAAATTTAGTACCTAATAATTTCACTTTGTATGAACATTTTCAGTCCGGCATTGTTTGGTCGTCGCTAAAAAAATTTAGTCATATGCTAACATTTGATCCAACCTTCATTCACTCAAATTTACAGTTTAAACTAAATGAAGTGGCTTGAATACTTACAAGACTCTTCGTAAGCTAAAAGACGGCTCGTCAAATGCCGTCGTAAAATGCCTTTCCCTCTTTGCTGTCATGTTAGTCCCCGTTATCGCGTGGGAACGAACAGATGGAGGATAACATTTACGCTCAATCACTCAAGGCCGACTAAAAATTCTTATAATCATTTCAATCTAAATTTGAGTTCCACTTGCTCTGTCATGAGTTAATTTCCCACAAATAAATCGATGTCAGTCCAGGATGGGGTAGTAAACTATTAATTCTGTACTGTATATCATTCGAATTAATTAACTATAATTGTATACGCTGAAGTTCTTCATACTATCTGTATCCTTTTTTATTTTGGAACTGCATGAAGCGCATAAAGGTTATGCAGCTGTCGCTACGCAAGTCGTATGATCAGAAAGCTCCCACAGTTAGATTATCTTCACAGAAAAGTCCTTGATTATTAAATAAGTATGATCTGACTAACATCCCCCTTTTAAGCTGAAAATACGTACCGCATAATTAAATTTTAAGTGAAATATCGCTTTTGATTGCTGTTAGCCTAATTTCTGTGGAAAAATGTCTTCTGCAAAAATAGTGATAGAATGCGGTCATTGGTAATCTACGTATATCTTACCAATAACTTTATCCCAATAACCCAGTATCGAGATGCGTTTTTTTCAAAAGTGCAACATTTCAATCTGCATGAATGTGCAAAAAGGTTTTAAACATTGCTGGTGATAAACTTCTTTACAATATGACGAGAGTCTGATATTGACGAGAGCCTGTTGCAATGCAATTTCATCGATACTCTATTTCAGTACAAATTCAACGATACTACGTACTCTTCAACCAGAATTAACCCATGGTCTATTATTTTGACTGCTTTCATTATTAATACGACTACTTTCAAAATATCCACAACCGTCGTAAAAATTAATACAATGTTTGAGCGACCATCATGCTTGCATGAAACATGCAGTTACCTGTTGAAACAAATAGTTAAGTCTAATGATAATTCCGTGAAAAATTGGGATTGAGTTTATCACGAAAACTTGATTTGAATCCCATAAATTATGTTTCTCTTTCCAAATATGTTTTATCAGGAATTCAGCATACTAATTATTGTCCCACGATGTGCAGACGTTGACGGCAATGTTCGTTTCAATTCACGATGCTGTTCATTAATTGCATTCAAAAATATTCCCAAAGTTTCTTCAGTATATGTCACCGTAATGAACACCTATCGATTGAAATGATGCTGGAATAAAACGGACATAATTACAAAAGGATGCAGCAGTTATTTGGCAAACTTCTGGCCTCACGATTGCCAGGATATTGCACAATATTCACAGACGACTCGCTCTCAATTGTCCCTTCACGAAACGTGGGCACAGGAATGGCAGTCTCATCGGTGCCCAACACAGAAGCATGGTGACTGGATCCACGGAACTCAATTATTATCGCGGCAGAACTATACGGCATCCTCCGAGCAATCGCCTACCTCTCCAAAAACAGCAACTTTCTAACCAACATCTGCACGGACAGTTAATCGTCCCTGGACCTGCCTACCAGATACGAGCACCTCATTGCCTCCATTAATGATCTCACCCAACTACCAGCGGGAGCAGTTAAGTTCTAGTGGATTCCCAGCCACTCAGGCGTGCTAGGAAATGAAGCCGCAGGTCAAGTCTAAAGCAAGCAGCCGCATCGGACATTATCCGGTTGAACTCCCTCGTGACGTGGCAGAGCTAAAGTTCATTGTCCATCAAGAAGTTTGATGTTTCTGGCAGTCGAAACTGACCTCAATACGTGCTCTATTTAACTTGGCAGCATCTTGGCCATCATTTCGACCGTGGAATCTCAAACAGCCCCATCGCACACTCCAAACTCGCCGATTTGAGGGCCTCCTGCTCGCCTGCGTCTCGGCACAGACCCACTGAACAAACTCCAAAACAGCCCTCTACCAGATTCACCAAGCCCCATCCCAAGTCTGCGCCTCGTGTAAGTCTCTGAAACAACTCATCAATACAATATCTAATCACCTGCAAAGAGCATGAAGAAACACGATCGCAGCTGCGTTGCAGGTTACGATCGCACGGAGTTGCGGTCCTCAGGCTATCTTCGCCATTGGGTGGAGACACTGCCGGCTGCCTCTTCTGGCCTCAGGCCCGCATAGCTGTCGAGCAATGTTTCAGCGTAACTTATCGCCTCGAACCATAATTTTCAACAAAAGCAACTTACGGATTGAATTGTCAAAGATCCCCAGCATTCCATCAATCAATTACTCTTTTAATTATTTATGCTAGGTTTTCACCTAATTTTTGGCTGTTTAACTAGACTGTCAATTTTAACGTACGATTCTAAGCTTTTTGTTGAAGTGGCGGCTAAGCTGGAATATTCACTATTAAAAATTTTGTCGATTTTGCCACAACCGTACAATATGGTTGGATGTCTTTCTCGTATAATACTGGTACTCTCCCTGTTTTCATGTTGTTGTTCTGATGTTACCCAGAAGATTTGTGTTTTCCCGTTGACCTGTTTATTCCTAATTTGGTAAATCTTTCTGTCAATCACTCCATTGCTCCTAATATTACACTCAGAAGACAGCCCTGGTTAAAATTACGAATCCCGAGCATTTATTCTTTCGTCTGTACTTGGAATCCTGAAACTTTTAATGTGAAACTACTCCGCTATCATTATGTAAACATATGTAGGGAGCTCTCCCACAAAAACACCGTGAACGCAGCCGGGCCGACAGACTGGGCTTAAATTAAAACACCGTGACACCCACCACAGCTGTGTTCAGTAATGTGTCTGACCTCTTACCGTCGTTGTTTTCAGGCAGCTGCAGTGTCTATATAACCAAAATTATATAACTCTAGGAGTGATGGTAAATATTAAAATCCCTGTCTTCCTAATCTCCCAATAGTTACTCTCACCCCACAGTTTTGAATCCTCTTCACTGAAATAAGGGATGCATTTACTTGTTAAACTGGAAGACATGTTACTAATTATTGAGTACGTATAAGAGCGTCTGTGTGCATTGGAGGTTCGAACGCCACTTTCTGTGCATTTTGAATCAACATATTCTCAAGAAAGATTATTTTTTGTGATTGTAGACAAAAAACACTCAGTTCTCGCAACAAAATTTGTACGTTTTCAGAAATTGTCTCAGAGTTCTAATTGGTAACACATTGGGCGTTTCAGCTGTCTATTTGACCGGCAGTTAAAACGTTCATATTGATAATTGTGCTTTCTGAATAATGCGATTAAGAAAATTACTTCAATTCATTTCTCGAGTATAACGATGAAAAGTTCCTATCGCTGAAATTCACTTCACAATCAAGTTATTTCTTTTTTGTAAGTTGTACGATACTGTGAGATTTTTTATACTGGCAAGCTAAAGAAATCTTAGTTGCTTGCCAAAAGATTGCTTGTAAATCTTAAAGGTTGAACTAAAGGTTCAACCTGTTAATCTGTCTGATTAAGTTGTAGAATTGTTTTTCAAAACCTTCAAATACGACCAGCAAAAGAATTTTTCAAAGATTTTGACCCCTGCACCAGGTCATAGTTGTGCTTAATTTCTTTAAATAATCAGCATTTTTATGAATGAATTGTCTCGTATTATAAACCGCGGAAATTAATTTGTTATGGAGATTTTTATTTATATACGAAAAAACTGCAATGCATGAATTGTCGTTTTGCAGGTTCTGACGTATGGGTTAATTGGTAATCATCAAATTAACGTTTAGGTCGGGTTACTAACCAAGTAAATTGGCAAATTACTTCAATTTTGAATTCAATGGAAAGGTTGAGCGCTGGTGTTGGGATGGCTAATAATACGGGATCAAGGGCAGTCGGCAGTGTGAATTTATCGCGAGGGACACATCGTCGACTTGAAGCATAGGTCAAGCCGTGTGTGATTCTTGCGGAAGAATCGAAGAAGGCCTGAATAAAGCGGGTAATATGGAACATGTATTATGCGTAGGTGTTAAGAATACTAAGAATGCGGGTCGAAACGATAAAGCAAGTGTGTAAGACGCACTTGTTTCGAGACCGTGGGAACAAGTTAGTTAACATTGAACGTTGGCGAGCTAAGCGCGAGGGAAATTCCATCAGTTGAGAAATTCGGCGAGAGATAGGCTTAACGGTGCGCGACGGCTGCCCATATAAGGGCCCTAAAATTGGCGCCAAGGGTTGGTTTCACAGTGGTGACCGTCTCGTCAGTACGGTCCGCAACGGCTTCGGCCGTTCCCAGTTAAAATTTAGGGCAGGGAATAGAGCAGGCCGTCGCCGGCTGTAAGAGCCGACGTAGAGACGCGCCAGAGTCGCGATAGAGCAGAAATGTCCGCATTAGGGACGATATCGTCAGCCGCGTAGCAGCGCTAATTAACCTCTGATTACCTGCCTAGGTGTGCCCTGTCCTGCCGACACGCAGCCCTCACTGAGCACCGCCTGCTCAAACCAGCCCAACGCCCGCTCTGGGGCGGCTCTGGCAGTGTACGCGGCAGTTACAAGTTACCGTTTGTCAACGATTTAAAAAATTTTTCCTTCTCTCTCTGGGATTACCTAGACTTCTCTCTTGCAATGACAGGTTGTGTTGTCATTGGTTTTTGACATTCACATCGTATTGACTTTAGCAACGGTATTTAGAAACTAACAAATTCCATTATCGAGGAAATTTACACATCAAATTACTCATCGCTATGAACTATCTGCAAACGTCGACGGCAGCTCCCGAAATCGAACGCAGATCCTCCGTGACGTATTACTTTACCACCTTGACCACGCGAACACCTTACCAGCCTAGGCTCTATGGACTACTTAACTATAAACTATAATACAGAACAAATAACTCGCCATCATCAAGCAAATCGAGGAATGGCTATCTTTGTGGTTGAACTTGATAAATATTATTCATAATGCACTAATTTCAATAAATGAACAAAGTAGCCATTCGTATGATCCCGTCAGTTAGATGTAAGTGAATATTAGAGCTAAATTTGTTTAGTAAAGTATCTTATTGCATTAGCTTCATGTCATTCGATAGTTTGACAGGAAAATTAACAACGTGCTCAAATCATTGGTCTCCTGAAATAGCAAGTTCTCTAAGAGTTTTAATGCAAAGAAAGCGCCAAATAAATTCACCATATCTTCAATGAAAACGTTTCGGAGACCAGCTCCGAAGCGCAGGTAAATTCGATCAATTTTATAAACTGATGATGGTGCTGGCTTACACATTTTCACTGAAAATATGGTGAATTTCCTTGGTATTTTCTTTGCTCTAACATTTACTGTTATTAACGCGTTTTCTGTAAATCCAAGTTAGAAAACTTTCTCATGATAAACTGATTGATATCTCGCTTTAGCAAACCGTGAATGACCGTAAACGTTTCTGTTTGTGTTTTAAAACTGGAAGAGCATATAAAATTCTTACGTAATTCAAAGTATTATAATACTGCCGTGAAATAAATATCATAACTGGCACCATAAATTGACCCAAAATATCGTACTATGCGAATGAACTAGATGAAGGATGAAGTTCATTCTCCCGCCACTGTTTCCAACCCTAACCCCTCCTCCCTCTCTCAGAACCCCCCTTGCACGGCCTCCATAGCTGCTCTGTTCAGCTCGCTGCCGGGCAACCCAAGTACCAGCGCTACAACAGCGCAGAGTTGCGGCCCTGCCGAGCTCTATATTAGCCATGGCGCAGCGCAGTTTTAGGGACAGATGGCCAGTTATAGTTTCACAGCTCCATCCTGGTAAAGCGCGCCATGCACGGCCTCCATAGCTGCTCTGTTCAGCTCGCTGCCGGGCAATCCAAGTACCAGCGCTACAACAGCGCAGAGTTGCGGCCCTGCCGAGCTCTATATTAGCCATGGCGCAGCGCAGTTTTAGGGACAGATGGCCAGTTATAGTTTCACAGCTCCATCCTGGTAAAGCGCGGCCAGCCCGGCTAAACCCGGCGCCGGTCTCGGCTTAAAATTCTAACTGGGCATTGGGCGGCGTGTTGCGAAATAACGGCCGCGCAAACGTCGAGTTATCTACAAGTAACGGCCTAACTTCACTTATTAATTTGTACAGTCAACGTTCATTTCGTTGTGACTTAACCGTGAGACAACTCGAGAAGCCACGAATTGTCCAACAATTATAACACCGGCAATCATGGAGACCCAAGTAGAGACCACCGCGAAGCAATTTTCATCGGTACGGTCATCAGCACCGTACGGTCACTGTTCTCATCAGAAGAAACGATACGGTCACAACCATCAACCGCAGTAAACCTACAAGAAACCTACGGCCAGACTGACCGTGAGGCATCTATATCAGCGAGACACGACGGCTATGGAGCAAGAACGACCGCGGGCAGCGGGGATGAGCGGCTACGGACACGGTACGGCCGCTGGAAATTTTGCCGCAAGGCGAGCGGCCATTATACGGTCGGTTACAACAGTCATACGACTCAACGGAACTGCAACGGATCAATGTTTCTGGTAAATAGAGAAATTTTCGTGATGTTAACTGATAGGTTCGCAATTTTTATTGTGTCCGGACTTACTTTTTTCATGTACTAGATATTTTTTGTTAACTTAGCATGTGAACTTAAATTTTCCAATTTAATGTGAAATGTACCAGTGTTTCATTACAACCCTATTTCTGTACTATTTTGGCCGTAAACCTATTCATACGAGAACCTAGTCACGCGCCATTTAAAACCACTTCGGACAAATCTGACGAAATTAAAGCGATCGCCGAGATGATATAAGTAAAATAATGGTAAAATCTTAAATCTACTTAAAATAAAAACCTTATTTCCTAATCAGGCCGTAATAGGTCTATAGTCACCGTGGCGCGAACAAAATCTACAACATTTTACATCCAACCGTGGTAACCACCGCACCTACAGATGTGGGTCACCGGCGGCGAGAATCTTTTTAAATAAGCAACAGTCACAAGAAACTCCGAGTCAACTGCGTATTCTTGATTAACTACTCATACTTGATATACTACTCGTACACTTGGTAACTTCTCATACTGTATAGTAAGAGTAACCATGGTCAAAAGTGGATAAGTTATTTTTTACACTGCTGGTAGAATGGAAAACAAATAATGAGTGTTAGCTACTAGGAAGTCTTACTCAATTTTCCCCACAACTAATAAAATTTGGTGAACCCTTATGAACTCCAATTTGTATTTGCGATGGAGTTGTTGCGGTTCAGAGGGATTGATGATGAAAAATTTTACGACTCGTGGTCAATTATTCTTTTACCAAGTAGCATAACATTTAAAAATGCAATAAAAACAAGGTATTGCAGGTAAGTATTGAATATTTCTATATTAATTACTACAGCAATCATGCAAGGAGTGAAGATATCAAAAATGTTTGCAAATGAAAATAGCGGCATCGAAAAAATCTGTCAAGTATACGTTTGAAGTCAGATTTAGTAATAATCTTATGTAGTTTGAAGAAATATTGTTTTTTCCTAATTATGTTTTTGACTACAGATATGGCAGAAGTCTCAAAAGGGACAACCATTTTTCCAGCATGTTTTGCCCTGGCGCGGAGTGGAGACCAAACTGCTTCGCGAAGTTGGCTAGTTCAAGCCCTTGGCGAAGGGCGCATGCGCGTTGGTTGTCAGGTAATACTCGATGCCCGCCCTGAAGAACGAATTGCACAGATATAGTTCTCGACTTACGGTTGACAAGTGTAAAAGATCTTCATCCTTACCATCTCTTAAAAGTTTATGCATATTAAAAAATTGCGGAACAATATTAGTCACTCTTTTTTTAGTAGACCGTTTTTCCTACAAAGCACGGAACTTCATCTTAATGAGTATGAACCGACCCAATAATGACGCCGGAAATGTCAGCCGGGTAGCCCATCTGAATGCAGCCGTTGCCACAAGAGCTGCACAGCCCGGCTTCGTAGGTCGACCAGTCTGAGCAAGGCTTCGCCCAGAAAGTCTTGTCTGTTGGCTCCTGAGCTCGTATGCTCTCTACCCAGTATTCGTAAGATCGACAGTGACTGCAACACACTGGAATATGAGAAAATATTCGTCACAATCATAGCTAAAATAACCGTGCTTGAGAGTTAAATCTGGACAATCGGTAAGTATTGTCAGATCATGCACGATAGGAAGTTGTGTTTTGTGTCAAAGGAAGTTGTTTGTGTGTGTCGAAGTTGTGATTATTCGCATCATTATCGTGATAAATTATTATCTTATTATTAGAAGCTTGGCGCCATTTAAATAAGAGTTCAAGTTGTCCATTACAGGTTGTGAAAAATTCAATAATGAATATTGGGTATCAAGAAAGTTTGTGCTCGAAACTTACACTTATGATCTATAATTGAGGTGCTGTTGACCAGTGGGCAGCCAACCTGATGAGCTCCGCCGTTTGGGTAGAAGTCGACTTGGCCAACTGGTTCGATCATCCCCGCGCATCCCTACCAGAGATAAATATCTTTGATTCTTCACCACTGAAGATCTTGCCAAAATGAACTCACTCGCTACGCTAGGAGCTCTCTGAGAACACTTGAGCGACGAAAAACCAACACTCTGAACCCACCGAGCAATCATTCCTATAGGGATGATATATACGTGAATGAATCTTGCTGGGAGTGAAGAAAAATGATATTGCAAAAGATCATAGCAATGATCAATCATCTGGATACTTCTTAATATATTGTGAAGTATCCAAATCCTTACGAATTATTTTAATCCTCAGTATTCTGCCTCACGTCTTCTTGGGAGCAGGCGTCGGTGTGGATGATGTCGACGAATGTGGCGCTGTTGGGGTTGATGCGTTGGGATTCGTCAACCTCCTCGAAGAGCTGCGACGCGGGGTCCAGACCTGCTCGTTTCAGCACGCAAAGGCAGATCTTCGAATTGGTCAGTAGGTTGCTTTGCAATATTAGGAAATGTTTTTAATAGTGTACAAAAAACGTAGTGTTTCTATCCTATAATGAGGCCCCTCGTAGCAACAAGCGTGGTTCACTTCTTTGGTGCCATCGCACTCGCCATCATCTTCATCCTCACCCAGCCCATCATGTAACTTAGTACGATAGAGGCCCCAGACTTACGGCGTCCAACTAAAAAAACGACTCAAGAATGCCGATAGACGACCCAAAATATTCCAGATAACCTTTAAAGAGCTTGACTCTCCACTTATCTGACCGACTGATCCTGCCTGCCACCGGTTTCTACCACGTGACTGATGACGCTAATGCAATCGACAAACTGACATCAAAAAATGCGACCAATACATTCCATAAAATCAGTCGACTACTAGACAGGGACGTAGGAAGCCACACTGCTCACGAAATAAAACACGAAATCGCTGACAACAAAACTGGCTACACAATACACATACAGGACATCATAAAAAAATATTACACGCACGTCATCAAAATAATAACCACAGACATCACAATGGCCAATGCATACTAACCTAGGGATTCTACACGTATAACACAAGAATCACGCCTTCACAGTGCGAACAAGAACAACATACACACTCATATGCTACAGATGTTGCAATATGGAGACCACCCTTCAAACCAATGTACATCCACCACTTCCTCTTGCTCCGAAGGCGCCGCTAAATTAAGACCACACTACACACAATGCATTAACCACCTACAAAAAATGTCTCAACTGCCACAACGAGCATCTTACCCTAGCGGCAAACTGTCTATACCGCAAGCGACAAGAAAAAAACAATCACAACAAGAAACAATCAAACACAAAAAGAACCAAACTTCCCTGTTCCCTCGACATAGCTAAACAAGCAATCCAACAAACAAACATTCCACAACATAGCCTGACAGTCTGACACTGACTCACACGACGGAACCAAAATTGACTATTATTTTTCTCGAAGCTCATGTCGCCAGCTTCTCCCTCCTGGAAGGGTTCGGCAGCATCTAATCGAAAACACTGAAAGCCAAGTATGATATCGACACGGCATTCCATGACAGAGACTCCGTGAAAATCTTCAATTTCTTTCACAGTCAACCAGTAATTAAGACTCTGGACAGTGACTCCAATCCTGGGACTGAATTCATAGACGATGATGACCTCAGACGATCATCACTTAATCTATCCCAAACAACCAACAGACGACGACAACACAAAGATAGACCCTCCAACCACAATATCCATAACCCATAACGAAGATCGTTACCCCATGAAAACGAAGAATATCGACGAACAGTCAAAAGAATCATGCATTTTTGGACCCGTACTCGACGAACCGATCCCCATAAAACTATTTATGAGCTCATGAGACGCCGTAAAAATCCTTATGGACCTAAACTTTGGTTTGACAACGAATTCAGAAAACGAATTCACCAACCACTCATAAATATCATTCCCACGACACCTTCATAAGCATGGACAAAGATTCGAAGGCAACCACCAAAAAGACGAAACAATCTATACATTCAAACACCCATCACAATAACCCATCAGTCCTCACTAAAGATAGTAAAGCAAAACGACCGCCACTGGTACAACAGGTTCCATCTTGCAAACATTTACACCCACATAGACCCAGACATAATACTCATCAACCACTCAATTACAGATGAAGGCATCCCCCTCAAGATGTTCAATTACAAAGTACAAAGTTGAATGAGGACTACACTACACTGCGGTGCTGCCATAGCCATTAAGAGGGCTCTGCCCTCCAAAAAAATTCTTAACTAGCCAACCGATCTTTCTGAAACTTCGTACACATATGCAAAACACTAATACAAGAACATTTTGTTCATATATTTTACTTAATTGCAGAAAACGTAAAATGCATACAAAACGGAAAAAAGGGGATTTAAATCAATCTATTTCATTTTTGCATTTGTGAGCCAAAACTACGAGAGACGTATCATTCGACACATAATGCAAATATGTAGCGACTCTAGAAGCGATTTTTACTTTTTGTAGAGGAATTTTTCCATTTTTCCAACCTCCCATCTTAACTAGTTTCTGAAATATATAATCTAAACAATAGATAAATCAGAAGAAAGGGCTCATAGAGACGCTACACTCAAAAAATTGCTGCGTACCAACGACGCGCGAAAGCGCTATCCTGGCTTGTTACAAAAGCGTCTACTTTTTTCCCCAGACCTCCCTCCTTAAAAGACACATACCTCACAAACACCACCACAATTTCCACACAGACGTGCGCAATCACAATCGACAATTAAGGGGACCGTTACGATAAAAAAAAAACTTTTTTATTTATGGACGGAGCGTTTTGAAACAGAAATCAATGACTTTTTTGTTCGTGTGAATTTTTTTAAATAAGGAAAACGTGAAAGAAATAGAAAACGGCAAAAGAGTGGGTACATTATAAAAGTAATAACTTTTGCAAATCACATGCTACAATGTCGAGACACATATTTCGATTCGTAACAATATTATCTAGCGACCCTAGAGCCTCGATTTACGATTTTGCTCGTCATTTTTCTTTTACGTGCATTTTTTCATTTTTCACATCCTCCCTACCCCCTCCCCACCCCCACTTCCCCCATATACAAGTCAAACCATGCACAAATTCAAAAAGAGGGCTCTTAGCTATGGTATGTTTTTCATGGCTGTAGGAGTTATTAAGTTTATAAGATAGCTTTTTAGATTTTTAAATTTTAAAGGGAGCCAAATAGAGCAAAATTTATTGAAAAAATAAGAAGATGCCGAAAAAATTCTCGATATTGTAGCCCAAGCTTTCCCATTGCCAATTGTTTGCATTTAGGGCACCAGCACGCGTCTTTAGACTTATTCTTGTCCAGTTCAACGTGAATATTAAGCTATAAATAGAACTTGTATATATATATATATTATATATATATATAATACATTTATAATTGAAATAAATCCAACATACCAGTAACGCGATCGAGTTTTCCACTGGTGACGGTGTTGCCAACCATTCCAGCACATTGAGCACCGAGGCTGTGTCCCGCAAGTGCCGTCATCTGGAAGTCCAGACCTACATTGTCCACCATCCAGTCCAGCAAAGACGCGGTGAGATTGGCGGTTTCATAAACGCCAGCAGCAGCATCGACGTAGTCGGGACCAGCAGCCAGCTCTCCCCAGTCCACCGAGATGAAATTGGCATCAACCCTATCGAGCAAAGCATTCTTGGCATCTAAAATCCACGATGCATTGCCACTGGATATGTAACCATGGAATACCAGAAGGGTTTCTTTGGAGGAATCGAAGTTTGAAGCGGCGAAACTGTCGGCGTTGAAGGCCTCCAATACGTATTCGACATTCCGATTGGACCTTGTCCAGAGTAGGAAGTTGACTTGGTCTATCGCAGCTTTGACTTTTGGTTTAGGTCCAGGATCTAGTACCTGTTGCCAACCGTCAGCCCAGTTATTGGACAAAGATGCGAGACCCTCCCTTATCTTAGGACTGTAGTCAGCAAGCGAGACTTCTCGCTCCATGTTGCTCATGCCTGCTGACACTGCCAGCATGCAGGCCAGCGCTATTAGTTCTCGACGGTCCATTTATTGGAAATTTTTTGCTCTCTGCGTGAACGGAAAGATTCGGTAATATATCGAGAAATTACTTACTTCTCTTTTGGCTGCTCCTAAATCGTATATACTTGCAAACGCGATTATTAAAGTCATAGAGCCTTCGAAAATTCTGTTCTGCATGGCCGAAATGGTTCCATATCTTTTCATTTCAACTACTGCTATTTGTTTGATATGTTTGCGTCATTGTAATAAGCTATGATATTTATTCATTCTTTTGTTCTTTGTTGCAGGAAACACTTTCTGTCAATTTTTTTTTTAAATCAAGCAAATTTTTATTAACATCCTAATTTGGATGCGTACTAAGATTTGATATTATTTTGTACATAAGATAAGAAAGATTTGACATTAGTTGCCGAAACTTTTTTGTCAGAACGACGGCAGATCATTATTTAAATATAGTGCATAACAATTTCGTTAGTAAAGACTTGAAACATTTTCAGTCCGGCATTGTTTGATAGTCGCAGAAAAATTTCTTCATATGCTAACATTCGAACCAATCTTCATTCACGAAAATTTACAGTTTAAGCTAAATGAAGTCACTGGAATACTTACCAAGATTCAGAAGTTAAACGACTGCTCGTCAAATGCAGTCGTAAAATGCCTTTCCCTCTTTTTTGTCATGTTAGTCCCCGTTATCGCGTGTGAACGAACAGAAGGTGGGATAACATTTACGCTCAATCACTCATGGCTGCAAAAAATGTGATAGTTAATTCGAATCTATGTTTGAGTTTGAGTTGCTCTGACATGAGCCCATGTCCAAAACATAAATCGTTGTATGCAGGATGGGGTAGGAAACTGTTAATTCTGTATGTTATTTGAATTAATTAATTAGAATTGTATACACTGAAGTTCTTCAAAACTATCTGTATCCAGTTTTATATTGAAACTGCACGAAGCGCATGAAGGTTATGCAGCTGTCGCTTCGCAAGAGAGGCCAGCATGGGGATGCATGTTAGAGGCCTGCATTACCCAATACCGACATCACTTCTGTATTCCTTCCCGTGCGCAAGCATGCCACTGAGTATAGTAGCTAATGAAATCAAGTGTTTAGAGCAATAAGCCCGCAGCCACTGCTGCAGCCTGTATAGTCTTCATAGAGCCTGAAATTCCGGTCACTCTACGCACCGGACGGGTTCTCCTGGCAGTCAACTTCGACCGTAAGGCAGCCTTCGGTTGTGTATCTTATCTGGCATACTCAATAAGCTAGCTCAAAGTGGAATTGAAGGTCGCATAGTATACGGGCATACATAACGTACCGATCCTTTTATGTATCCGTGGCTGGAAGATCATCCTCAGCACGACCTGTCAAGTCTGGTACATGCCTCAGGGCGCTATCCCAGCGCCACTACAGTTCAATGGGGGTGTTGAGAGCCGCGAGGCTTCGGACAGGCTTGGCTGCTTGCTATGAGTTTCTTCACACAATAGGCTGAACATTACTCCCTTCTTGAATGAGATAACAACCTGATTTTTTCCATGTTTACCCAGCTATTTGTTTACGAACAGTGGACACTAACAAAAAATATGCAAACCTTGTATTATCGAATATATTGATATTAGAGGGAACCTTAAAATGGGCATAAAGAAATTTACCGTAAAAGAAACTTGAGTTAATAATCTTATTTGACTTTAGTAAATTTTAATTTTCATTCAAACAAAACAACTTCCTGATATAGCAATGTATATATTCTCCATCCGCACTACTAATCAACTTATCTAAGAAAATGGAGTGTCTTTGGAGAAGTGAAGACAAAACTTCGAAGTCACACCTCTAGTAGCTTCTCTGGATGTCACAGTGTTCCCGTGAACTCCATCTTGCATATATCAGAACTAATCGTCATGGGTCCCACTCAACTAGTTTGATGTAACTTCATCTGTGGAACACTAATGGAGACTTAAAGCCTGTTACGCCAGCCGCCCCGAGGACTGTCGACTTCCACCCGCTCCATGTGACCCATACTCGGCCCGAGCTGATCCTCAATCCATACACCGTTAGGGTACGTACACAGTGAAAGCCGATTGCCAGCGTGCTGGTTACCTGCTGAGGCTGGCGCCTGAAACAAGCGCGAGAGGTTGTTCACAGTGGAAGCAGGAAACATGCTTGTGCATTCCCTATAACGATTGATAAAATCTCTCAATAATACGAATCATACAGTCAAAACTCATTATAAATGAATAAATCGCATGATAAATTCATCACATAACCCGTCAAACTCTCTGAACCGCTGAAAAGCTGTTAAAAAAATTTTAAGAAGAAATTTGATCATGAGAAAAGCTGAGAATTTATCGAAGTCTTTACTGTCTGTTGAACCTGCACCATAAACATGATAAACATGCCCACATCACCTGCACCATAAACATGCCCACATCATCTGCACCATAAACATGCCCACATCACCTGCACCATAAACATGCCCACATCAACTGCACCATAAACATGTCATCACCTGCACCATAAACATGCCCACATCACCTGCACCATAAACATGCCCACATCAACTGCACCATAAACACGTCATCACCTGCACCATAAACATAAACATGCCATGTCCCATTGTCCCATGTCCCAACAATTTCGCGTTGTCGTTATCGGATTAATTAGGCTGTGGACGCCAGCGCCACTTCCGATAATTCTCCGATAATCCTCCAAAGAAATAAAGAAAATGGAGGGTTTAAAGGTACAACTAATTCAAAAATGACCATATGCCAAGCAGGTTGAGCAGATAAGAATGTGCAGTACATTCCGGTAAATAGGTATAAGCAGGTTGTCGGCAGAAGCCTATTCGTACAGGTTTCCAATGTGAACACTTACATTATTATCCTATGTTCATTCTTGTGGCCGGTTGGAGCAGGTTGCCCGCGCGGGCAAACCTGCTTCCACTGTGTACGTACCCTAAGGGTACGCACACAGTGAAAGCAGGTTGCCAGCGTGCTGGTTACCTGCTCAGGCTGACGCCTGAAACCATAGAATACAGAAGCCTATTCGTAGAGGTTTTCACTGTGAACACTTACATTATTATCCTATGTTCATTCGTGTGACAGGTTGGAGCAGGCTGCCCGCGCGGGCAAACATGCTTCCACTGTGTGCGTACCCTATGTCCGGAAGGAAGTACGTGCATTTCTATGTCTGTGAAGGTGTTTTGTGAGGATCCTAAGCCGCTTCACGGCCTGTTCTTATAATAAAGACGATGTGCCTTATTTAGTTCAATTAAAGCAAAATAATAATCGATAACGAACTAGTAATTGATTAAACTGATTGAAACAATTTCAATTGATTAAATTGATAAATGGAATGAAAAAGGGTCATACTTTTACTGGCATCAGAAAAGCTTCCCTATGTTCTATGACTATAATTGATTGATTTTTCTGATTCATATTCCATACACCAGTGACGTGATGACGTGGTTCTGACGTCATCCGTCAAAGGCACTTCGTTGAACGAATTTGGGCGGGACTTGCACGTTCTCCAACAGCTTTATTCCTTCCCTCTCAAGACCCAGCATAACATAGCAGAAAAACTTTGAATAAACTTATTTATTTTGTCTCGAATTTTTATGTCCCTCCATAAGTTTTTCGTGATCACATGAGTTGTTATGAAGGAAATTTAAATAAACTTTGAATTTTAATTATAATGAATTTTGAACAATAAATTCTTTAATTAAAAAATTTTAATTATTGTGTTCGCTGGCCATTCCTCGGCCACCTGAAAGCCGCCCGTTGCTCCAAAATGGGCGCTGGCTCGGATATCATATTACAGAGACTACAAGCCCGATAGTAGCAATTTGCCAATCTGAGGACAGAGCCGCGATTCACATCGCTTTCAGACTTCGCCGCGCTTTGGCTACCAGCCTTCAACGTCCTCCTCATAGATATTCCTAGCCTAGCGTAACTACAGCATCTATCCAGAAGATATTACCATGTTCATTGTGGCGAATACCCTAGGTGACGCTGGGGACGCTTCAGGAGGCCATAGACAATTTGGTAATCTTGATTGACACTTGGTCCCTCACCTTAAACCCTGCAAATCCTGCGTTCCAAATATTCACCCGAAAATGCAAAGTCTATCCCCTTCTACCCTCAACATCTCGGGCACGCCAATACCAAACATCCGCCATCACCGACTCTTAAGCCCCTATCACATACCCTAACAAAATTCGGGGTATGCTTCAGCCTCTGCCCCAGAGTTGCTATATGTTCGCGTTAGTTATTCTGGGTCAGTTGGCCAACTGATCGCAATCAGCGACTAGTCAGAACCTAGCTACTGGCCGACTTTATGGTCTCCTGAGAGTAGGGCAAGAGCTGGCAGAATCCCCTCAGTCCCCTCACCAGGCTCTGGTAGCTGTCTGATTCGGGGACCGGAATGTGCGTATAACCAAAAAACGGACATATACCCTATCAAAATTTTTAGCTGGTGGCGAGCCTGAATGAGGAACCGCGTAGGACTCGGACCGAAGGTAAATCAGCTTCTCTATAATGTCTGCTTCTTGGTCTACATTCCGGCCCCGAACCAGACAGCTACCAGAGTCTGGTGAGGGGACTGAGGGGATTCTGCCAACTCTTGCCCTACTCTCAGGAGACCATAAAGTCGTCCAGGATGAATTCTGACTAGTCGCTAGCCGATTGCGATCAGTTGGCCAACTGACCCAGAATAACTCTAACGCGAACATAGCAACTCTGGAGCGGAGGCTGAAGCATACCCCGAATTTTGTTAGGGTAGAGGAGCTGATTTCCGTTCGGTCCGAGTCCTATGCGGTTCCTAATTCAGGGTCGCCACCAACTAAAAATTTTGATAGGGTAGAGCGGCAAATATACCTCCGGCGTCAAAAAAAGCAGCGGTATTTACCGCGCAATCATTCACAAGAGGCGGTTTTTTAACGCTGGAATCTATCAGTCTTGCAGTGCTGTTTTATGCACCATTAGTCTATCTTTATGTAATAATATTTATGTTAATGTAACCATCTATATATATCTTTGTGGAAATATATCTTTTATGTAAAATATGTCTCCTATGAAATATATCTTTATGTTTATGTAACAATATCAATCTATAGTCTATCGGACTTACAGTGCTGTTTATTGTGCACATTAAATACTGCCCCAGTCTCTGTACCATACTAGCTAGGGGCGTGTAAAACCGCCTACTGTGAAAGATTACATTGAATACCATTGCAAGATAAACTGTCGCGGCAAATCCACCGCCGCAGTTTTAGCAGTACACATGCCGGCATCAGGCGTCAACTTATACGCCGCTTTAAAATCTGTAGTGTGTCAATAGCAGTGCACATTTTGTATGTCCTCTGAGGTTCGGCGGTAAATACCGCCAGTGACCGACGGTATTTACCGCTGAACCTCAGCGGACATACAAAATGTGCACTGCCATTTACACACGACGGATTTTAACGCGGCGTAGAATTTGACGCCTGACGCCCGCGTGTGTACTGCTAAAACTGCGGCGGTGGATTTGCCGCGACAGTTTAGCTTGCAATGGTATTCAATGTAATCTTTCACAGTAGGGGGTTTTTCATGCCACTAGCTAGTATGGTATCATTGTTCACAATTTCTGCCTCCTGTAGGCCGTATTTAATGTGCATAATACACAGCACTGCAAGACTGATAGATTATAGACTGATATTGTTGCATACAAATTAAGA